GTATTTAGCTTTTATTTGGAATTGGAAAAACACAGATCTAAATAAAATAGGTGAAAAGCTACCTGACTTTGTATTCATGTGAAACACATAATGGTTGGTTATGGCAAAGCAGGCTNATATTTAGCTTTTATTTGGAATTGGAAAAACACAGATCTAAATAAAATAGGTGAAAGCTACCTGACTTTGTATTCATGTGAAACACATAATGGTTGGTTATGGCAAAGCAGGCTGGTATAAGAGCTCCCATCAAAGCCATGAAGAGCTGGGTTTCTGATACATACTACCTCTATAGTATGACTGTGGGCAAATTGCTTAACCTCTCAGTGTTCCTTACAACTTTGTAAAACTGAAGTTGCACAACACTTTTGCTAAATGTTTCCTCACTGACAGCTCTCTACACAATGAAATCAGGTCAGTCCCTATCACTCTGAATTTCTACACTATGGGCCTAGATGAGTTTTCTCTTTTACTAGTACATAACACTTTATAAAAACTATTGGATCCTCAAAACACTGAGGTAGGTGCCATTATCTTACAGATGAGAAGTAGGTATACGAAACAGGATCTGAACTCAGATTTTCCCGGCTCTAAGGCCAAAACTATCCTCTTTCCCTTCACTTGCGGCCACTTTCCCTTTCTAGCATGAGGCTTGAGAAAATTATGATGCCGACCATAATGAACATTACTTTATTATCTCTCAGAAAATACTGTACATCTAAAAATGATGTTTTTAAGGCAGTTGGTATAAGTTTCACAAAGTGAAATGAAAATGATTGTTAAAAATTTTGCTATACTTTATAGCTCCTTTTCCTCTAAAGTAGGAAAACAATTCATAAATCTAGTATTAAAGAGGCTGTAGAGAGCTTCTCTTGACTAGGCACTGCCAAAGAAGTATTGATTCCACATGACTCCTTTGGTCAGTTAATGAATTTTAAGTGGAAGCTCAAATAATCACATTTACCTAAGAAAAACTACTTTTACAAGGAGATTTTTAAACTTGCTAGTTAGTACTGTTAATGAGGCATTCAGATAATTCCCTACATATACACGGGAAAGTTGATAGTAGGCTATGGGGACAAAATCCCCAAATCTGCTTTCCTGTATGTGTTGAGGGAGACGAGGGTTTTATTACATCCTAGCTACTATTTGTCAAAGGCCATTTTTGACTTGGTGCCCTTGAAGCTCTACATAAGGTTTGAAATCCATTTTTTTTAATGGTATCGTGGGCCCTGCACGCTTACAATTTTTACCTTCCACCAAAGTCACTGGTATTTTTTGTCACAAGATTGATTAGTTCTAGAACTAGAAGTACTCACCCCCTATACACATTGTCCAAAACTAAGCTCCATTTTATGGCACCCCACCACAGTATTCTGTGCTGGATGTTCTGCTTCAACTTTGGATATACAGTCTTTGTTTCTGAGTAGCTTCCACTGAATTTCACAACTAAAATTGTTTATTTTTAAAGTTACTTCAAATATAAATACAATGTAATCATGATTGCTTCTTGAACAGCTTTAAAGAAATTGTGCTTTTAGCTTCCTAGGTGTTTTGTATGTCTACCTTGTGCTACCAACTTTCCTGTGGTCTTGTTTGTCAGGTCCACACTTGCAAAGGCAAGAGTTTTTCCTTTCTTCAGAATGTGAGCAGCAATCAATATTTCTTCTCCTACCTTAGCCGGGGACAAGTACCTTGAATGAAAACATGCGGGACATAATTAATGGAAAGAGACTATAAAGGAATAGATACTTTACAACTGTTATCCAATGTTCACAATGAAACAGATTTAGAGCAGGAAGGACCTTAGACGTCATCTAAGAAACTCATTTTACAGAAGAGAGACGGAGATTAAGTGACTGACCAAATTCACACTGGAAGCAGAACCAAGATTTGAACCTATTTCCTCCAACTACAAATCTGTCATGATTTCAACTGTTTGGTGCTGCCTCTGATAATAAGTATTTCTATGAACACTGGGAATACCAGAGCAAAATCTTGTCCTGTTCTTTATATTTGTATGCCTTCGAGGTTTGATTTGACTTCTGATTCCACATAAGTGCATTTTAAGATAAGTCTCCCAGAAAAAACTTTAAGAAAGCATTCTTACACCAACAATATAAGTTTACTTCTGTTCTATCCCCATAGGGTTATCTTCCTAACCCTAATGCGGTAGTTCTTAAAATTCTCTGTTACCAGGAACCCCTTTAGACTCTTAAATATCATAGAGGACCCCAAAGAGATTTGTTTCTGTGGGTTACATAAATAATAGTATTATGGTGAAAATAGTTTTTACCTCTCAAAGCCCCAGAAGGGTCCTAGATGCTCCCATGGGCCCATTCCACTATGGGAACTGCTTCCCTACTTCAAAAGCAACTATTTTTTGTTTCCTTGCCAATATGTCAACAAGAGCATTAAGCTAAAGAGGCTCTAGGATGAAGTAAAGAGAGATTCTATTTCTTACGTAATGGACCAAGTACAGAGGCTATTTTTGTCCAATCTTTTTTTTTTTCCAGTGAGGCAGTCGGCTTAAGTGACTTGCCCAGGGTCACACAGCCATTAAATATCAAGTGTCTGAGGCTGGATTTGAACTCAGTTCCTCTTGACTCCAGAGCCATGCTCTATCCATTATGCCACCTAGCTGCCCCCTACAGAGGCTATTTTTAAAACACTGACTGAAAATACTATTGATTAGAACTAAATTTGATCACTTTCTTCCAGTTTTTTTTTTCCTGTTTCTCACTTTGAGACATCTATAAACTTCTGGGTTCTGATGGGGCTTACTTCCCTTTTAGTCCATTTGGAAAATTAGAGTTCCAGTATTCAACATAGAGCTTCCTCTTGTTGCTTTGATAACCTACGTTTGTGACCTAGTAAAAGATTCGTGCCTGGTACATGGCAGACCTTAAAACACTTAAAACCAAGGTTTATTTGACTGGGCATTTTCCAGAGTCAAAAACTTAGTAGTATGTGGAGGCAATTTTAACTTTGTAGAACCTACTTAACAAAGAATATATTTAGACTTTAAAAATAGAATACATACTCCCATATTCCATGAAAGTCTCATTTACCAGTGTTTATGCCAAGATTTACAGCCTTGCCACCGTGGCCCATCTGAATTTATTGTTCATTGAACTGACTCAAATACAAGCAATGCTGATCAATTTATTCAGACTACCCTAGTTTGCTTTCAGGCGAATCAGCTGGACAGCTACCACGAAGGGTTGCCCAGCTGATAACTTTGGCTATAAATATTTCCAAAGAAGGAAGCTATGCTGAAAAATTTTCAAAGTGGTTTCAGAATTGTGTAATTTTTTTGTCGTCAGGGGTAAGGGACAGACTGCTAGGTTAAGAACCTTACTTGAGGTCTAAGAAAGAAGTGTTAGCAAGTAATCCCATTTTTTTTTTTTTTT